GTCCTGCCTGTCTGGCTGAACATAATATCTCCTGACGAAACAACGTGGACGCCGTTTGTTTGGGAAACAATGGACCGAAACAATGCCCGATCCCTCTCTCACTCATTCTCTCTCTCTCTCTCTCTCTCTCTCTCTCTCTCTCTCTCTTTCTGTACACGTGAATACATGGATACAGATCTTCTCTTTCTCTCTTTTTCTTTGTCTCCCCCCCTTCTCTCTCTCTCTCTCTCTCTCTCTCTCTCTCTCTCTCTCGCTTTCTCTTTGCTGTCCACGCCCCGTTGCTCTTCGATCTTTTCGCGTTGAAATCTTTTCAGGAATCTCTGTGCCCTTTGCGAATCGTCGAAGAAAAATTTCTTCGACGACTGTAATCACCACACCGTGAGTTTATTTGTCGCAAGAACATAAAATTGAAAAGCCGAATTTCTCCTCAAGATCCGTTGTGTTTCAAAGGACAATTTATCTTTTCTGCTTGCGTATAGACATTGTTTCTATAAAATTCAATGAAAAGTGGTTGATGATACAAAAACGTGTATCATACAATGAGAGAACGACAAAATAATTTTTTGAATAAATCTTTATAGAGAACGACAGTACATCTATACTGACATATTGTAGCGCAAGAATTTCAAGTTTGCGGAAGAGGATTTTCAGCAGATACCGATATCAATTGAAATGTCTGCGTCAACGAATTTACGCAAGAAATTCTCAATAACTTGGCGGAAATCCTCACACTGTACTCGGGCGAAAGCGAACGTGTACTTGACAGAAATTAGTATTCCTTAATGAATGACGTGATATCCGACTGGTTCATCCCGTCTCACTATAGATTCCCTTCTTCCTTGGTCTTAGACTTGAGGCTGGGAGCCATTCAATTAATTTCACAAGACAATAGTAGCTCACTTCCACATCGGCGAATCGTGCTTGTACGAGTTTCGTACACACTCATTACATCGTTAAACCTGCTACTCCATGTCGTTTGCAGAATATTCGTGTGATCATTTGGAAAATTAAATAAAACATGAATCCGTCTAAGCATCTCAATTCGTCTTTTTACAACTCGCTAAGAATTTTGTTAATCTCTATTATAGAGATAATTAAACAAAACATATATATATAAAAATAATAATAAAGCTTATGACGAAATAACTGAATTATCAACAATATATGACTATACTAATGGAGTTTGTTGATAGAATTTAATTACGTTCTTCAGAATTAACTTGTATAAATATTAATCGCGTGCATCGCAAAAGTAGAGTACCTATTCAATTTGTGACTGAGATAGCAAAGTGTAAAAGTAAAAAATATGGAGGGGGCGCGATGGCAATTAGATAATTAGATCTGCGACGCCAAATTATCATTTATCTTAGTTAATCTCATTGTCAGTACCTATCCGACGCTGATAATCTAAAGATGCAATTACCAATCTGGAGATTTTTCCATTTCTTTTATCGAAATAGAATAGCCAAAATGACGACTACTACGGGCGATCCATCAACCCTAAAGACTCCGGCTTCTCTGTCGGGTGGAGATCTCGTTTCTCGTCTTCTGGCGGCCACTCCTCCGTATCTATACAACGTGCCATTGACACCTCATAGCTTTTTCTTCAGCGAGATGTTACGTTCCTTCGTACAAGCCAAAGCGGAGGCATCGTCGACTGGCGGTGGCGGTGGCGGCGGCGGTGGCGGTGGCGGTGGCGGTGTTGGCAGTGTTGGCAGTGTTGGCGGAGGTACACCAAATGCACCGCGACGCCGTAAACGATCTTGGCGAGATGCTCGGGATAGACCACTCGAACTCACGACGAAGGAACGGTCGCATCATCATCACCATCATCATCATTATCATCAGCATTCGGAGAAATACTATCACTCGGCCGCGCAGCAGCAACCTTCTCAAGTACCGCCGGAGACTCGTTTGGAGAACGATGGCAAGCGAGCTGATACCTATCTGGACACGGTGGAGAACAAACCTGGCGCGGCATTCGATCAGAAACCTAACTTTGGAAGCGATATAGATATTCTTAAGCCCATTGACGAGAATAAGACCGAGTTTTCGCGACAGCACAGTAAGAGCTTCTTCGACGAACGACCACGACACTTTGAGCAAGCCCAACCGCCGGAGAACGTTTTTCCTGGCGGAGAAGGTCCCCCGCGTAAGGTCAAACCGGAGGATTCGCAGCAGTTAGATCGCAGCAGCGGTAGGAGTTACGAGGATCGGTCGAAAAGTAACATCGTGCCCGGTCAGGAGGTGTCCCCTCTGCAATTGTCAGATCAGAAGAAGTTGGACTTTTCACGGGCAGGCCCTTTCCTGCCCGGGATGCCGGGGGGCAGAGGATGTGAGAGCGTACTTCAGGGCGTGAAAGGTTTCGCTTTGCCCAGCGGCATGAGCGCCGGCGCCGGTCCGGCGGATTTTCTACCTGGACCCCTGTGGTACCCGCCATATCCGATGCCGCAGTCCTACCCCGGCATCGATCCTTTACACTTCTTCATAGACTTACGCGTCTCCGGCCATATTTGGGATCGCAAGCACGCGAGCGAACGGCAGCTGTCTTTCAAGAGCAAACATTGCTCGGCCTTTAGCGTGCCGCAATCGAAGGAGTGCGGGAATCGCCCGTTGAATCTTACCCGCGACGAGGCCACGACATCGAAGAATCCGCAGGATGCGGAGAACACGCAGGGTACTAATTATATCTTGAAACATCTGATGAAAACCTACCAGGACATACAGCAGATGAAAACTTCCAGGACGGATGCGTCGATAGAGAACGAGGACCATTTGAAGGGAACACAGCAAAGTAAGATGTAGTATTATATCGCTTTTCTTCTAATAACATATGTATATATATATA